TAGTAGTTAGTAGTAGTAGTAGTAGTAGTAGTAGTAGTAGTAGTAGTAGTAGTAGTAGTAGTAGTAGTAGTAGTAGTAGTAGTAGTAGTAGTAGTAGTAGTAGTAGTAGTAGTAGTAGTAGTAGTAGTTAGTTAGTAGTAGTAGTAGTAGTAGTAGTAGTAGTAGTAGTAGTAGTAGTAGTAGTAGTAGTAGTAGTAGTAGTAGTAGTAGTAGTAGTAGTAGTGTAGTAGTAGTAGTAGTAGTAGTAGTAGTAGTAGTAGTAGTAGTAGTAGTAGTAGTAGTAGTGTAGTAGTAGTAGTAGTAGTAGTAGTAGTAGTAGTAGTAGTAGTAGTAGTAGTAGTAGTAGTAGTAGTAGTAGTAGTAGTAGTAGTAGTAGTAGTAGTAGTAGTAGTAGTAGTAGTAGTAGTAGTAGTAGTAGTAGTAGTAGTAGTAGTAGTAGTAGTAGTAGTAGTAGTAGTAGTAGTAGTAGTAGTAGTAGTAGTAGTAGTAGTAGTAGTAGTAGTAGTAGTAGTAGTAGTAGTAGTAGTAGTAGTAGTAGTAGTAGTAGTAGTAGTAGTAGTAGTAGTAGTAGTAGTAGTAGTAGTAGTAGTAGTAGTAGTAGTAGTAGTAGTAGTAGTAGTAGTAGTAGTAGTAGTAGTAGTAGTAGTAGTAGTAGTAGTAGTAGTAGTAGTAGTAGTAGTAGTAGTAGTAGTAGTAGTAGTAGTAGTAGTAGTAGTAGTAGTAGTAGTAGTAGTAGTAGTAGTAGTAGTAGTAGTAGTAGTAGTAGTAGTAGTAGTAGTAGTAGTAGTAGTAGTAGTAGTAGTAGTAGTAGTAGTAGTAGTAGTAGTAGTAGTAGTAGTAGTAGTAGTAGTAGTAGTAGTAGTAGTAGTAGTAGTAGTAGTAGTAGTATAGTAGTAGTAGTAGTAGTAGTAGTAGTAGTAGTAGTAGTAGTAGTAGTAGTAGTAGTAGTAGTAGTAGTAGTAGTAGTAGTAGTAGTAGTAGTAGTAGTAGTAGTAGTAGTAGTAGTAGTAGTAGTAGTAGTAGTAGTAGTAGTAGTAGTAGTAGTAGTAGTAGTAGTAGTAGTAGTAGTAGTAGTAGTAGTAGTAGTAGTAGTAGTAGTAGTAGTAGTAGTAGTAGTAGTAGTAGTAGTAGTAGTAGTAGTAGTAGTAGTAGTAGTAGTAGTAGTAGTAGTAGTAGTAGTAGTAGTAGTAGTAGTAGTAGTAGTAGTAGTAGTAGTAGTAGTAGTAGTAGTAGTAGTAGTAGTAGTAGTAGTAGTAGTAGTAGTAGTAGTAGTAGTAGTAGTAGTAGTAGTAGTAGTAGTAGTAGTAGTAGTAGTAGTAGTAGTAGTAGTAGTAGTAGTAGTAGTAGTAGTAGTAGTAGTAGTAGTAGTAGTAGTAGTAGTAGTAGTAGTAGTAGTAGTAGTAGTAGTAGTAGTAGTAGTAGTAGTAGTAGTAGTAGTAGTAGTAGTAGTAGTAGTAGTAGTAGTAGTAGTAGTAGTAGTAGTAGTAGTAGTAGTAGTAGTAGTAGTAGTAGTAGTAGTAGTAGTAGTAGTAGTAGTAGTAGTAGTAGTAGTAGTAGTAGTAGTAGTAGTAGTAGTAGTAGTAGTAGTAGTAGTAGTAGTAGTAGTAGTAGTAGTAGTAGTAGTAGTAGTAGTAGTAGTAGTAGTAGTAGTAGTAGTAGTAGTAGTAGTAGTAGTAGTAGTAGTAGTAGTAGTAGTAGTAGTAGTAGTAGTAGTAGTAGTAGTAGTAGTAGTAGTAGTAGTAGTAGTAGTAGTAGTAGTAGTAGTAGTAGTAGTAGTAGTAGTAGTAGTAGTAGTAGTAGTAGTAGTAGTAGTAGTAGTAGTAGTAGTAGTAGTAGTAGTAGTAGTAGTAGTAGTAGTAGTAGTAGTAGTAGTAGTAGTAGTAGTAGTAGTAGTAGTAGTAGTAGTAGTAGTAGTAGTAGTAGTAGTAGTAGTAGTAGTAGTAGTAGTAGTAGTAGTAGTAGTAGTAGTAGTAGTAGTAGTAGTAGTAGTAGTAGTAGTAGTAGTAGTAGTAGTAGTAGTAGTAGTAGTAGTAGTAGTAGTAGTAGTAGTAGTAGTAGTAGTAGTAGTAGTAGTAGTAGTAGTAGTAGTAGTAGTAGTAGTAGTAGTAGTAGTAGTAGTAGTAGTAGTAGTAGTAGTAGTAGTAGTAGTAGTAGTAGTAGTAGTAGTAGTAGTAGTAGTAGTAGTAGTAGTAGTAGTAGTAGTAGTAGTAGTAGTAGTAGTAGTAGTAGTAGTAGTAGTAGTAGTAGTAGTAGTAGTAGTAGTAGTAGTAGTAGTAGTAGTAGTAGTAGTAGTAGTAGTAGTAGTAGTAGTAGTAGTAGTAGTAGTAGTAGTAGTAGTAGTAGTAGTAGTAGTAGTAGTAGTAGTAGTAGTAGTAGTAGTAGTAGTAGTAGTAGTAGTAGTAGTAGTAGTAGTAGTAGTAGTAGTAGTAGTAGTAGTAGTAGTAGTAGTAGTAGTAGTAGTAGTAGTAGTAGTAGTAGTAGTAGTAGTAGTAGTAGTAGTAGTAGTAGTAGTAGTAGTAGTAGTAGTAGTAGTAGTAGTAGTAGTAGTAGTAGTAGTAGTAGTAGTAGTAGTAGTAGTAGTAGTAGTAGTAGTAGTAGTAGTAGTAGTAGTAGTAGTAGTAGTAGTAGTAGTAGTAGTAGTAGTAGTAGTAGTAGTAGTAGTAGTAGTAGTAGTAGTAGTAGTAGTAGTAGTAGTAGTAGTAGTAGTAGTAGTAGTAGTAGTAGTAGTAGTAGTAGTAGTAGTAGTAGTAGTAGTAGTAGTAGTAGTAGTAGTAGTAGTAGTAGTAGTAGTAGTAGTAGTAGTAGTAGTAGTAGTAGTAGTAGTAGTAGTAGTAGTAGTAGTAGTAGTAGTAGTAGTAGTAGTAGTAGTAGTAGTAGTAGTAGTAGTAGTAGTAGTAGTAGTAGTAGTAGTAGTAGTAGTAGTAGTAGTAGTAGTAGTAGTAGTAGTAGTAGTAGTAGTAGTAGTAGTAGTAGTAGTAGTAGTAGTAGTAGTAGTAGTAGTAGTAGTAGTAGTAGTAGTAGTAGTAGTAGTAGTAGTAGTAGTAGTAGTAGTAGTAGTAGTAGTAGTAGTAGTAGTAGTAGTAGTAGTAGTAGTAGTAGTAGTAGTAGTAGTAGTAGTAGTAGTAGTAGTAGTAGTAGTAGTAGTAGTAGTAGTAGTAGTAGTAGTAGTAGTAGTAGTAGTAGTAGTAGTAGTAGTAGTAGTAGTAGTAGTAGTAGTAGTAGTAGTAGTAGTAGTAGTAGTAGTAGTAGTAGTAGTAGTAGTAGTAGTAGTAGTAGTAGTAGTAGTAGTAGTAGTAGTAGTAGTAGTAGTAGTAGTAGTAGTAGTAGTAGTAGTAGTAGTAGTAGTAGTAGTAGTAGTAGTAGTAGTAGTAGTAGTAGTAGTAGTAGTAGTAGTAGTAGTAGTAGTAGTAGTAGTAGTAGTAGTAGTAGTAGTAGTAGTAGTAGTAGTAGTAGTAGTAGTAGTAGTAGTAGTAGTAGTAGTAGTAGTAGTAGTAGTAGTAGTAGTAGTAGTAGTAGTAGTAGTAGTAGTAGTAGTAGTAGTAGTAGTAGTAGTAGTAGTAGTAGTAGTAGTAGTAGTAGTAGTAGTAGTAGTAGTAGTAGTAGTAGTAGTAGTAGTAGTAGTAGTAGTAGTAGTAGTAGTAGTAGTAGTAGTAGTAGTAGTAGTAGTAGTAGTAGTAGTAGTAGTAGTAGTAGTAGTAGTAGTAGTAGTAGTAGTAGTAGTAGTAGTAGTAGTAGTAGTAGTAGTAGTAGTAGTAGTAGTAGTAGTAGTAGTAGTAGTAGTAGTAGTAGTAGTAGTAGTAGTAGTAGTAGTAGTAGTAGTAGTAGTAGTAGTAGTAGTAGTAGTAGTAGTAGTAGTAGTAGTAGTAGTAGTAGTAGTAGTAGTAGTAGTAGTAGTAGTAGTAGTAGTAGTAGTAGTAGTAGTAGTAGTAGTAGTAGTAGTAGTAGTAGTAGTAGTAGTAGTAGTAGTAGTAGTAGTAGTAGTAGTAGTAGTAGTAGTAGTAGTAGTAGTAGTAGTAGTAGTAGTAGTAGTAGTAGTAGTAGTAGTAGTAGTAGTAGTAGTAGTAGTAGTAGTAGTAGTAGTAGTAGTAGTAGTAGTAGTAGTAGTAGTAGTAGTAGTAGTAGTAGTAGTAGTAGTAGTAGTAGTAGTAGTAGTAGTAGTAGTAGTAGTAGTAGTAGTAGTAGTAGTAGTAGTAGTAGTAGTAGTAGTAGTAGTAGTAGTAGTAGTAGTAGTAGTAGTAGTAGTAGTAGTAGTAGTAGTAGTAGTAGTAGTAGTAGTAGTAGTAGTAGTAGTAGTAGTAGTAGGACGAAGTGAGAAGAATAAATCAAGGTGAGAGTGAATTGAATGGCGAATCCTACTCCGTCGATATTGGAATCGAAATCTGTGGTTATTTAGCAAATTGTATATCTGTGGCATGGTAGACGATTTTATTACAGGTCATAAGGTATTGTTTATTTGCGATTAACAAGAGGGTTAACTAACACGTATTTTAGGACGCTGCCCTGCATATCATAGCTGGGCGATCACATGGTGAATAAAATTGTTGTACCTCGGTGATTATCGGTTATCTATGTATTCCGTCAGTCACTGGTCTCGCTCATCTCCCCACTCGCTCTTCTACATTTACGTTAAGTTCATTGCTGTGGTATTTGTGGGTGTCTGTGAAACACACATTCATCCACTACTACGTACGTGAAGATCATTACAACTAATCAGTGACATTCACTCTCTCAATCCGACCTGATGTATTTAAAACAACGACGACGTAAACTGCACATCATCACACTCAGTCATTCAGTCGACTTGAACACGTTAAAACAATCAAATATGTTGATTAGTTAGATAGCAGGTAACAGGAATACATGGACATCAGTGAAGAGACAGCCAACCAGAGTAGTTGGATTAAAACAAGATTTTGAGCGAACAATTGTTTTCGATAACTTCTTCTTCAGGCTCTACAGTTATAAATCCATGAATAGTAGAGTACATATAGCCAGTAAAGGCAAATGAAAATAATATCAGTAACTGTATTGGGGTGCATGTGTAAGTTGAGGTGATAGTCCATTAGTTAGCATAGTCAATTAAATGTGTATAGGGTGTTTAGTCAGAAAAATGTGATGAAGTGTGTGAATGAACAATAAGGTGATATAGTGTAGTTTTATAGTTAACAGAATACAAGTGTCCTTGGGGTGAGAAAATGCGATAACCACAAAATACATGTAAAGACACGTTAAAAAATGAGGCACTGGATATGAGGGCTGACCGATAATGTCTAATGATAAAATAAAGAGGCTAAATTGTAATAAAATGCTACAGAATTGGTAGGTATAGGTAGTTGGATTACTTCACATAGGATGTTCGCTGTTGTATACATTGACTTTCCATTAATCAGGTTCGTATTTACCCATCTGGATGTTGTTGAATTGATGTGTCCATTATGTAAATAAACGTTTCGTATATTCAATACTCCCGGAAATCATTAGGTCCTCACATGTATTTCATGATACCCATTATTGACGTGGGTATTTCGAGGATTCATTAGGTTATTTAGGAATATGTGGCTTGATTCCACAGTCTTCTTTCACTCGGCCATCAGCATCAACTCGTCCTTCGGCTACGCGCTTGATTTCGAAGCATCCTCACTGTTCGCCATTTCACACTCAGTCTCAAATTCCACTCTGCTCCACTCAGTTGCACTCCACGCCTCCTCGTCATATCACAATTTGTTTCTCAACTCACTCTCACTTGATCTCTCGTCCATTTATCGTGTTCTTTGGACAATAGGTTCTTAGTTTTTCGAAGTGAGAGTTCCATGTTGCTCATCCTTCCTAACCAACAAGAAGAAGGAGGAGTAGCACGACGAGAGGGAGAAGTAAATTAAGCGGACCATTCATCTTCAGTTTCCAAAATCAAACAAAGTAGAAACAACCATGCTCTTCTCTCAGTCTAGTTGAGGAAACACACTCTACGAAATCACAGTGTTGTACATGTAATGAAGTTCATATCTGTCAGACGATATTCGTCGTCCAGTGATGTACTGTCACATATTTATTGGTGTCAGTAATGTCTCCCTTACTACAAATTAGACCTCGAAAATTGTCGCCCGTAATATAAGTGAGAAGGACGAAATTCATTTCGTTCCATTGGTCGGATTAGAAATACACTTTGGAACTCCTGAGTTATACACACGTTTCCCAACTAAAATCTACAGATTATTCCCAATATCGAGACGGGTTGAATTTGTGTCACTCGGTGGACCAATCAGCTACTCACCTGGTGGAATACAGTAGCCCATGAATCCTAACTTCTGTCAATACGCGATATACAGACATGACATCTTCCACCCCACTGGTCACCACTTCATATTAGAGATTCAGAACTACCATACTCATGCACACATACACACACACCCATGCATGCATGCACGCGTGCTTCATATGGCCACTCATCAACATGAGATTGATATCGAGAATTTCTGAGTTTTGTAAGCACTTCGATTTATTTCAATCTCGATTACACCACGAATTGACATCACTCAGACCACCTTGTCATGCATTCAAACTATTTCTTATACTTTGATCAACTACAGGATAGCATAGCATGGTACAGCACAGTATAACTTTCATCATCTCAGTAACCAGTTGGTAACAAGTTAGTTTTTAATTGCTTCCTATTCATCTATGACACTCACATTCATTGTGAAATTCACTTTTACATTCCACTCACCTTACGGGTCAGAGTCAATAGACAGGAGTGACCGATAGACAATAAGACATCAAGACTGGGAGACAGTGAATGAGACAGAGAGTGAGAGAGGTACAGGGGATTGAAGAAACTACACTCACTGAGACCCGAATTCTTGTCATCTGAATACATTTCATCGCATATCCATGACTGACAAGTCAAACATTCTCACTGAATCAAACACGATATAATGAATATGCTTGAATTTGTTGAAAATTCATTGATTGATATCAGTTAGTATTCTCAAAATAATCGATGAGTGAGTTTCAATTAAATGTATGATTAACTAGTCATAAGTCATCGATCGATTGATCAAAACTCACATCACTCCATTACAGACGAATTTATGAAATATTGAAAACAGACAACACTTATAGAAACAATGGATACACCAATCAATCAAGGAAATGCGAATTTGATGAGAACATTGGAAGAAATTCAACTTGTACTCTTTTAAACGGTGAATAATTTGAAAGCGGGAACTACGCATAATTCATATTGTGGTTACAATAATCATTACAATGGTTCACAATAGGTTGTCGAGAATGTCAGTGTTTTTTGTATTCTGTACAATTATATGTGCTGCATAGTATACGTGATTGTGAGTGAGTGAGTGACTGACTGACTGACTGTCTGAATAGGTAGATGACATTTCAAGGGATAAATTTTCAACTGTAATTTAAACCAATAAAAAGTGTGACAGCGAGAGATTGCTATCTCACTCACAAGTCAGTGTCACAATCCTCCTGTGTTAGACTAACCACTTAGTCAGTCAGTCAAGCAGTCAGTTAGTCGGTCGGTGAGACATTCAGTTTATTCATAGGTACTGTTTCATGCTTCATGGATTCCATCTCAGTGGCTGAATAGTCAATGAGCTCACCTCGTAGCCTGTAGGTCGTGAGTCCGATTCCTGTTGGTGAGGTCATGTGTGCGTATTCAATGAAGAGTCTGAAACTAGATTCGAACAGCCGTCCATTACGCCCAGCTTATTTTCCATCACTTCTCTTACTCACACCAATCCATCATCAAACGTGAAATAATCCCTTCTGTGTATAAATATTTATCCAATGTCCTTCAATCCATCTTTCACTCAAACGTAGAACAGATGAACAGGTAGGTAATTCAACTGTGAACAGAGTAAGATTCCGTATTAAATTCATTCTCACCTTGATTTATTCTACTCACTTCATCCTGTTGCATGTATTGAAATACATGTCTACTTCACAAATGAGGCATTATGGTGAATAAATGAATAAATTGAGTGAGTGTGTGGTGTGACTATGTTTGTGTTTGTGTCTCCTTGTGTTGTCTCTGTGTCAGTGTGTGTGTTTGTGCGTTTAAGAAGACTAAATTGACTTAGATCATTCAAGATAACGTAGAAATAGTTTTGATTGTTGAAGTAGAATTGAGATAAGTTCAATTCATTCGAACAGCCTAGCAACACACTGTTTACCCCAAGGTGGAATTATTATTGTTCAGTCAATTAGTGGGTGTGGTAACTAGTACAGAGAGAGAGAGAGATTAGTAAGGTGATCGATAAATGAAAGAAAGTCATCGTTTATAACTTTCTGAAATAAAGTGAACATACAACGGTGGGAATAAAGGTGAGTGGCTTATTATTATGATTATTATTAATAATACTATATAACGCGAATCCGATTAACCCAGTATCGAACAACAACATCCTGTTGAGATTATTTATAGTGATGATGCCAGTATCACATTCATACATTACATGATTACAAGATGAATCGTAACGTGATCACCTCACAACCTGTAGGCGGTTGGTAGGCTACGACTCCTGATGACATTATACAAGTGCACATCAGTGGAGAACTGAAAATTCAGGCGACAAATTTTTCCACCCTGTCTTCCTCCCTGGTCGTTTCCTAATTCAAATTGTTTCCACTTGAAATTCTCACAATCTCGAATACCAAAATTTCAAAATTATTTAGAAAATTCTTATCATTCTACACATTCCACACGATTGAACAGTTGGATAATTTTGAATGAAACGAGTGATGTGGATTTCACTTTCCAACATGAAATCACATTGTAGCACGTTGGTAACATCTCTCACCACAGCGATGAGTGATATGGGTTCTAATCTTCCAGGTTGATGATACGCCTTGTTGACGACTGTCACTTAACAGGAAAGCTTAGCCTCCATCTCTCTGTCAATCGTCTCCAACTACCTGAAGCCAATGTGTAGTAGTCGGATGTTTCACTTCAGTGTACAAATGGTGATTTCATGCAGTGTAGAGTTTAGTACACAGATCAAAGTACATCTGAAACTAACAATAATTCGAAAACAGCCATCACCATATTCAGTATTCATGAAATCACTCCAGTTAACAGGACACGTATCAAGATTCAGAGTATAAAGTCAACATGTGATGGTGATGTTAGCTGAACATCTGGAAACGATGAGAAGCAGACAAGTGAAGAGAAGAGAAGAGATTGATTGTCAGACTAACTATGTGTGTAGACTTATGTTTACACCAATCTGCGTTGTTATTATGAGAGCTCTCTAGTAGATACTTTTTTATTCGTACTTTGGGTATTTAGGCTAATTTGTTATCCAAATATATAACCAGACGACTTCTTTCTCACAGATTTCAACTCTCAGAACTAATATCAGTGACAATTTGTAAGAAGTTTGAGTATTTTCGAGGAATGGAGACAGTTAAATAATGCAAATTCGTAAAATAATTGTCCATGAATACAACAGTGTCGATTGTTGAATATTTACTCGGTTTTATCTACCAGGAGATTGATGATTATCGAGGGAATCTACGCACAGTTGAATGAGTGATTTCAGCTGCACTGCTGGGGAAACACGGAAATCAAAAAAACTTGGAGTGAAACTGTTTAGAATATTTATTTTCAAGTGTTAGTTTGACATGATTCGATTGGTTTCAATTTTGATCACGGATTGATATCAGTTGCAGAACGATTGAAAACCACCTGAGAGTATCGCCTAGGACACAATAATTCATTGTGGATTAGAACCAAAACGTTGAAGCTATGAGTTGAGCCTGCGTGGCATTAAACATCATTGGATTTCATTTCAGTAACCGAATGGTCAACGTGCTCATCTTGTAAGCTGAAGTTTCTGCGTTCTATACCAGATTGGTTCAAAGATGTTTACTACTGAATAGACCCAAAGTAGGACGAAACTGCTGTCCAGTACTACCTGGTTTTCAGTGGTTTTCTCAGTAATTAATTAATCAATTAATTTTTGTTTCATTTTCCAGAATTGTGATTTATGCACATATTACTGAAATCAGTATCCTACATTAATGACTGATTTGAATAACAAGTCACATTTTCACAATGAGTAATGAGACTTAGTGCATTTTGATCAACATCTACACGGAACATGTGAACAAACAGTTATTAGTGTTGAACTGAATTATTCTGTAGGGAGAGATTGGAATACAGTATGATCCATGATTGGATCTCATTAAGTGCACAGGACACTTCAGCTAATGGCTCAACAGTGAATGCTCATTATTTACTTCCCAATGCATTTAATTCATGCAGTGGACTGCTAATATTTATTGAGAGACTGAGTAAGGGATTTTGAGCGACGGAAAATATATTTGTAATAAATACAGACTACTGAAGGATTCTATGGTGGAATGAAAATAAGTGTTGGTGTTGTCAAGTTCGACTCATTCTGTTATAAT